AAAGACATCAATGTAGATTTGGACGGTTGTCATTGCTATTTTATGGTCACGATGATCAAAGTTTAAGTTTGAAGAAAGAGTTCTAACACCAAAGAGAATGAGCAGGAATTCATAATGGAGCGGGAGTATTCATGCCTATTTAACATATTGTATTCATGCAAATATTTTTAGACAGCTTCCCCATCGATCTCATAAATGGAACAAGAGACATTTGAATTCTAATGTCCTGTATATGCAATTAGTACAGAAGGTTGCAGGAATGTCTTTCATGAATGCAGCTCTTTGAGTAGTTAGACCTGATAATCCTGAACAATGCATTCTGATAGGAGTCTTTACTGTATGTACCTTTTGCCAGCAACAGCATTTGGCAGCATTCCTAGAATTCATAGTTTGTAGGGTTAACATTTCTTTCGACCCCCCACCTTTCGGTTAATCTCACAGGTTGTGCAACCTGTGATTTGTCAGCAAAGAACAAGCTGTAAGTTCAAACTGCAGAGCAGGTGCAGCTAACTCAGACTGCACTTGCACACTGCCCTTTTGGTTTCGCGGTTCTGGAGCCCTGTAGGGAATTTTTAAGACGTGATTTTCTTTCTCTTGGTTGCACTGTGATTTTGACAGGTTGGTCTCAAGTATTAATATTAAAACTATTAAATCATCAACTCATGCCTCACAACATGTGAGGAGACTGGTTTATACAACATTTTTCTTCTCTTTGCTCTCTGATTTCAGGTGTCAACATGCTGAAGCAGGTTCTGTTATTCAGCCGCTCCTTGGTGCGAAGGAAAGTGGTCGACCTAAACAGCCTGGAAGACTCCAAGCTCTGCCGCTGCTTGGGAACCCTTGACCTTATTGCTCTGGGAGTGGGCAGCACTCTGGGGGCTGGTGTGTACGTACTGGCTGGAGAGGTGGCCAAGGGAGACTCCGGTCCCAGCATTGTAATCTCCTTCCTAATCGCCGCCATGGCCTCTGTCATGGCAGGCCTGTGCTATGCCGAGTTTGGCGCCCGAGTCCCTAAGACCGGCTCCGCTTACCTTTACAGCTATGTCACTGTAGGCGAGATTTGGGCCTTCATCACTGGTTGGAATCTAATCCTTTCTTATGTGATCGGTGAGTTAGGGGCAATGCTCAAATTCGTTTTTATGTAAAGAAGACACCGGCTCTCCAATGGCGTATTTTCTTTGTTTCCTCACAGGCACCTCCTCAGTTGCCAGAGCATGGAGCGGCACATTCGATGAAATGATTGGAGGACACATAGAGATATTCTGTAAAACCCACTTCAGCATGAATTCTCCTGGTTTGGCCCAGTACCCTGACTTCTTTGCGGTCTGCCTGATTCTGCTGCTCTCTGGTAAGGCAGCAAAAAAAAAGCTGAAAATCACAAGATTCAAGTCAAACCGTTGACACACAGGCTGCAGCGAATAAATGAAATTTAGAATTGGCTGCATCTTGAGCAAAAACAAGCTTATGAGCCATGGCTGACATAATATAACATAATCTAAAACAGGAAAGCAGGGGACTCTTGTGTTAAAGAGGGCGAGGGATCCCAGAGGGCTGTGTGAGTCTGTTAGGTGCACACATGCACCCTGTTTTTGCAGCTCCTAAAGATTTTGATCACTTAAGTCAAAGCATAAGTTGTGTCTTGCTCACATACAGTAATTTGGAGAATTTTGCACAATTGCACTAGTTTTTGTTACGTTCAACCCTTTAACCCTCAAACAATTTAATCATGGTTTTTGCTCTCGGCCTGCCAATACGATGATTACATTAAGTCAGTGGGACTCAGTAACAGTCCACCAGTGTTTGGTTGTTTTTGTGAGGATGGCAGATACACAAGCTATGCAAATATAAGATAATCCATAAAAAAATCTGAGTCGGGTCGTGTCCTAAAACACAGCAAATAATTTTCTGCCTTCATTCTCTGCATTTGTTGCACGCACTGCTGTTAGTTTCATTTGAGGATTTGTACAGATATCCATGTAGTCCTGAGGAAAAGCTGTGATAAGTTTGATAATCCTCCTTTACGACAGAAACCAGTACAGACGTAACCTTTTACCCAGGATGCTAATATAGCATGCTAATACAAAGCAGGTAATTTTTTTTATAATCAGTTGGCTCAATTGTGACAATTTGCAATCAGTGACAGCTGGACTTGGATCCCTGAAGGGTTAGATTGAGAGACAGAGATAGAGTTGTGCGGGCATTTTAAATATTCTACAGCAAGCATCTGAGCTTTGTTTTCTATCTACTCATTCAGGACTTCTGTCCTTTGGCGTGAAGGAGTCAGCCTGGGTCAATAAAGTCTTCACATCGATCAATGTGCTTGTGCTCTTGTTCGTTATCATCTCTGGCTTTGTCAAAGGAGACGCATACAACTGGAAGATAACCGAAGACTCCCTTATAAATGTCACCATAGCTACAAGGTAATTTATTTATTTGCAGAGGCAATCCTAGACGGGGCAAAGACGCCTACCCTTTAATACATCAGTTAATATGAAACAACGTGCAGAGCATTGTAAGCAGCATTGCTTCCAGTCACGAGTGTACATGTTACAGGAACCTGTCCGTGACGGCCAATGTGAGCAGCGATTATGGCATTGGAGGATTCATGCCCTATGGTTTCAGTGGGACCTTAGCAGGAGCTGCCACCTGCTTTTATGCTTTTGTTGGCTTTGACTGCATTGCAACAACAGGTGAGTTACGGTCGGGTTGAGTTTTAATGTGAGTTTTACGAAAGCAGAGCTTCATGTTTTCATGCGTCTGTGTCTGATAGGTGAGGAGGTCAAAAACCCTCAGAGGGCCATTCCCACTGGCATCGTGGTGTCACTGACCGTGTGCTTCTTGGCATACTTTGGCGTGTCAGCTGCCCTCACGCTGATGATGCCCTACTACCTACTGGACGAAAAAAGTTCCCTGCCTATGGCATTTGAATATGTGGGTTGGGGCCCTGCGAAGTATGTGGTGGCTGTGGGTTCACTATGCGCCCTATCCACAAGGTAACCGCTGGATTTGTTTTAACAAATCAAGCTGCATGCATTAGAAAATAAACACATGTGTTGCTACAGCAAACCTTTAGATGTAATGCTACATTTGTGATTGCTGTGGACGCTGTCAGCTGGGGATAAATGGGGCTGAGATTTGGTTGAAAGTTTTGACCACATATCTCCAGGTGTGTCTTGTTAATGGATTGATTCTTCCTTCTAATCTGGGGTGTGGTGGGTGCAATATGTAATTGTGTCTGTTTTGAGACACCTGCATGACTCTGTGATGTCATTTTGATATTTAAAGCCTCTTCATTTAATGAGAAAGGTGAAGAGTGTCTCCAAACTATCTAATGGTGCAGTTTCTATTCTGTCTTTCTTCCCGGAGGGTCTATAAATCGGTTTACTATCAAGAAACCTTGTCAATCCCTCTCATGGTCACATTCAGGTGAAGATTATCTGATTGGACTCAAAGCAATTACATTTTGTATTTTTGCCAGTGCCTGTAATTCGTGTATGCTGTTATTGTACTGACTGGCATTTTTATCCTTATGCAAGAAAAGTGCAATCCCTTTTAAAACATGATGGGATTGCACACCGCTGCTAAACTTGAAAAAATTATGATATTACCTTCAGGAAAGAAAGACGTTCAGTGTGTGTTTCAGCCCTATGTGTGTGTGATTTACTGTCCTGGTTTGGGGCTTTTGACTAATGTGTTGGTCTTGCATGTCTCTGCTATCTCATGCAGTCTGCTGGGCTCCATTTTCCCTATGCCTCGTGTAATCTATGCTATGGCAGAGGATGGGGTGCTTTTCAAAGCCTTAGCCCGAATCAATCCTAAGACGAAGACCCCTCTTATTGCCACTATGAGCTCCGGTGTAGTTGCAGGTGAGAGCCAGGGAGAATCCAAGTGGGATCACTCTAAGCTAATCTTTCTTCTCACCGATCAACTGTGAAAGACACAGCGCAGTCAATGTTGGTTCTGAATCAAATTGGGCCATTACGCTTTCTGATATTAATGATCTAGCGTGTAAGGACCTTGTCATACGTCTGTATACACCTGTTGTTCTTTCACAGTTGTGCAGGTGTCATGTTTTCTTTCCCAGAAAGCCCTCAACTTAACCATCAACCCTCTTCTCCCTAGCCTATTGGGCTCCATGTTCCCTCTACCACGCATTCTCTTTGCCATGGCACGAGATGGTATTCTATTCAAATTTATGTCCAAAGTGAGTAAGCGCCAGTCGCCTGTGGCTGCCACCATGGCAGCAGGTACCACTGCGGGTAAGCTGCCGGACCTATCATGGGGTTGTATCGTGGTGTTTTTATCTTTCTTTTAAAACAATCTCTCTACAGATAATCGTTTGGTGACGGTAACTGCATGATAAACTGGGTGATGGTGTTTCCACAAGCATGCGACAAAACCAACAACCCAGTTCAGACAGTTTCCATCTTCAAGGATATTGTCTGATTTTAAAAATGTTCACCACATGTCCACAAATCCAGCTGGCTACTTTTTTGAAAAAGAAGCTAGAAAGTAACTAAATACAAGTGCTGGCCATAATAATAATAATAATAATAATAATAATAATAATAATAATAATAAAGTTTTAAACAGGCATGGTTAGGAAGATACACAGAGACACAGATATCTGCTAAGTAAATAACACAAGTACGGGCAGTTGATGGTATTTGTTAAATAATTCAATTAAAATGCTCCAAAAGGGAACAACACCACAACCATGATGGAGACTTCCAGTTAGTGCAGAGGGAAGGTAGCAGGAATAAAATAATTTCTTTGCTCCAGGCTGTACACGTTTCCTCATGCTGGTTATCCATTTGGACATGGAAGTAAACTGGAAGCAGCTTCAAGTGGCCATTTGGGCAACTGCAGCTGGCTTATTCAGCTCTGGAGGTGTTGAATTAGCTTCAGCTGTACTTTGTGTTTGGGCACAAACAG